TTTTCTAATTGACGGGACTTGAAATACACCCCCTCATGCCCATGGTGCATGTATCAATGAATGGTGGGTGGCCCATTTTTAAAGTGGATCTAAATGGCTCTGATACCATGTTAGAATAGTGGATTGAAGCCTAACTCAACCCTACAAAACCGGCTTGTAAGGTGAGGGTTGCTCTCCACTTATATACTATTTAATTGCCTAATCTCTAGTCGATGTGGGACTTGGGTTTTTCCCAATACACCCCCTCACGTCCAGCACTATTGGGCTTGGTACGTGGATAAATGGTGGGTGGCCCTTTTTAATGATCTAGGATTGGCGGGACTTGGGTTTTTCCCAATACACCCCCTCATGCCTATGAGACATGCATCAATGGTGGGTGGCCCATTTTTAAAGTGGATCTAAATGGCTCTGATACCATCTTAGAATAGTGGATTAAGCCTAACTCAACCCTACAAAACCGGCTTGTAAGGTGAGGGTTGCTCTCCACTTATATACTATTTAATTGCCTAATCTCTAGTCGATGTGGGACTTGGGTTTTTCCCAATACACCCCCTCACGTCCAGCACTATTGGGCTTGGTACGTGGATAAATGGTAGGTGGCCCTTTTTAATGATCTAGGATTGGCGGGACTTGAATACACCCCCTCATGTCCATGGTGCATGTAGCAATGAATGGTAGGTGGCCCTTTTCTAATTGACGGGACTTGAAATACACCCCCTCATGCCCATGGTGCATGTATCAATGAATGGTGGGTGGCCCATTTTTAAAGTGGATCTAAATGGCTCTGATACCATGTTAGAATAGTGGAATGAAGCCTAACTCAACCCTACAAAACCGGCTTGTAAGGTGAGGGTTGCTCTCCACTTATATACTATTTAATTGCCTAATCTCTAGTCGATGTGGGACTTGGGTTTTTCCCAGTACACCCCCTCACGTCCAGCACTATTGGGCTTGGTACGTGGATAAATGGTAGGTGGCCCTTTTTAATGATCTAGGATTGGCGGGACTTGAATACACCCCCTCATGTCCATGGTGCATGTAGCAATGAATGGTAGGTGGCCCTTTTCTAATTGACGGGACTTGAAATACACCCCCTCATGCCCATGGTGCATGTATCAATGAATGGTGGGTGGCCCATTTTTAAAGTGGATCTAAATGGCTCTGATACCATGTTAGAATAGTGGATTGAAGCCTAACTCAACCCTACAAAACCGGCTTATAAGGTAAGGGTTGCTTTCCACTTATATATTATTCAATTGCCTAATCTCTAGTCGATGTGGGACTTGGGTTTTTCCCAATAATTGTGTCTTGGTAGCTCCAGCCATCAAGCACAAGTTTCTCTCTTCAAATTCAGATTCATCACTTGTTGTGCTTGAGTCATTGTCTTCCCAAGCAAAGTAGGCTCTCTTCCCTTTGCCATTTTTCTTCATTTTCTTTTCCTCTTGTTGCTTCTTCAAGAGGTTTGGACATTCAGCTTTTATTTGTCCTGGTTTCCCACACTCAAAGCAATTGTAGGAGGATGTACTTACTTCCTCTTTCTTGTTAGCCTTTTTATTGAACTTGTAGAGGGAATTCCTCTTTTTCCTTAGGAATTTTCTGAACTTCTTCACCAACAAGTTTAATTTCTCAGCTTCGGAATCTTCGGAGCTTGATTCTTCACACACCTCTTTGCAAAAATAAACACACAAAGAGTGCAAGCAGAACGGATCATTCTGGTTTCAGAACGGGCTGTTCTGGTTCCAGATGCATTAAAGAAATTTAGCATCTACCTATGCATCTACGTGACATCCACGTGGCCAACCGTTAACTCTGTTTAAATAATTTGGACAGAAGTCCGACATTGTAGTAATTTAAATTATTAGGGACTAAATTGAAACAAAAAATTAAAGTAAGACTAAATTGAAACAAAAAATATTATAAGGGACCAAATTAGGTTTTTAACCAAAAATATAAATGTTATGTAGAGAAATGTTGCTCAAGAGGACTTGAAATCAAAATCAATTATTTATTAAAAGATTGAAAAAATTATTGATTTTATTTTTTTTATTGAAACCTTGTCATTTATGTTTTTCTTATTAATTGTATTATTTTTTTTAAATTCATATTGCCCTTTAAAAATTTATAAAATTCTTTTAAATCTTAAAAATTCTTAAGATACAAATTCATTATGGGGTCTATTGGATCAGATTTCAAAAGATTTAAAAAAAAAATTATTATAAAGTCTTTTAGTATTCAATCAAAATAATTTTAATATAAAAAAGTTATGTAGTATTCAATTAAGGCAATTAAAATTTTTTAAGTTTACATTAAAATCCGGTGATATTTAAGGGGTACCTTAAAACCTAGTTGTATTCAATTAAGTTTTTTTCAATTAAAAAAAATGTTGGTATTAAAAAAAATAGAGATTTCAATGAATTATTTTGATGGATGAATTTTGCAAGATTTTTTAATAAAATTTATATATAATTTACTCTTTCAACAATCTTATTAAAATTATTGAGATTTCACATTCTTTTTTTCTTCTTTTTTTCTCTCACTTTTTTTGTTTTTTTTTTCTTTTTCACTTTCGCTCTCTTTTTCACTCTCTCATATTCTCTCTTATCTTTTTCTTTCCCTTCTCTCTCTTCCCTATCTCATCTTCCTTTACTTGTCTCTCTTTTCTCGTGTCTTTTCTATCTCATATTCTTTTTCTTTTTTGTTCATTTTTCTCATTTATTTCCTCTCCTTATTTTTTTATCAATTTTTTTATCTAGCAATATATTTTGTTCACATTTTTATTTATCAATATTGATTTATAGTTAATTAATATTTGTTTTTTAATTATTAGATATTTTAAATTATTGTTAAATTATTAAATATTATATATTGTTAAAATTTTAAATTATTAAAATTTAACAAATACTTATTTTTAATAAAATTTAATGTTAAAATATTAATTTTTTAAAACATATATTAAAAATATATTTTAACAATTCTATCTGTTAATGAATATCATAATTTTGAATATATTGTTCAAATTCAATAGTTCAAATGAAAAAAATATAAATGCATAGAGGGTTGAATGCAGAAAAATGTTATTTAAGAGGACATGAAACCATATTCAATTGTATGTTCAAATTCAATAGTTTGAATGAGAAAATATAAATGGATAGAGGGTTGCATGTAGAAAAATGTTTCTTAAGAGGATATGAAACTAAAATCAATTGTATATCAAAAGATTGAAAATTTTATTGATTTTATTTTCATTATTCAAACCTTGTCATTTATTTATTTTTATTAATTATATTATTTTTTTTAAAAGTATTGTCCTTTGAAATTTAAAGAGTGCAAGCAGAACGGATCATTCTGGTTTCAGAACGGGCTGTTCTGGTTCCAGATGCATTAAAGAAATTTAGCATCTACCTATGCATCTACGTGACATCCACGTGGCCAACCGTTAACTCTGTTTAAATAATAATTACATAAATTTTTCTTTGACTTTGTTTTTGACTTCTAAGTTATTGATGTCCTTGGTCAGCTTTGTTCCACACATTTGTTATCATCAAAACCTTTAATCTCCAGAGGTTATCTCAACAATCTCAATCTCCCCCAATCTCAACAGAGTTACCATGCCTAAAGTCATGTTTATCATAAGTATAAAGTATTGATCATCTCCTAAGCCTTGATATTATTAACATAGGATTTATTGTCTTTTTATTTTTTATTATTTGTATTTTCTATTTTATCCTTATTTTTTTGGTACCCTAGATGGTAGGTTTTATTTTGTTTTTTAGCTATGGTATTAATTTGGCTTGGAAAGCCTCGTCTAGATGTCTTCTTTGATTTTTAATGATGTGATATTTGGACTTGGTAAACTTTGGCCCAAGTGGAGGGCATCTAGAGTACATGATCTTATCACGTATCTAGTAGTAGCAAAACCAACTTCAAATATTCCATCCTTGGGCACCAAGTGGACGAAACTAATAGATGATATATAGGTTACATTTTTAATGCATTTCCTCCCATTTAGCATGGAAATTCACACAAAAGTTGTCTTGGCCGTCACCTATTTCTAGGCTAGAATTTTCCTTCACTAAAATTTATAAATACCCTGGACTAGCCTTCTTGTAATCACTTTGGATTATATTAATATTAAGTGAGTCTTTTGTGCCTCAAAATCCATCCTTAGTCCCTAAGTTATTTTTGGCCAACCTTCTCTTATCTCCACCTCGATGAGTAAGAAACCCTAAAGTGACCTCCATCTAACTCATGGAGTGAGCCAACTAATCTTGAGAGCTTCAATCCAAACACTCCACATTCCTTATCTTGGCATCAACTTTCTTCTTGATGGCTAGGAGCTCTTAATGAGACCATGATCCTTGGAACAAGGAAACATCACCATTGATCCTCCTTCTCATCAATGACTAAATGGTTCCATCATATATATATATATATATATATAATCTCTTAAAAAAATTATCATTATAAGGAGATTAAATGTGAAGACCATAAAATTTATTAAGATTAAATTACATAATTTAAAGAAATCACATCTAAAATTAATAAGTCAATAAAATAATTTATTTCAACATATCCTTAAAATATCAATAATTTAAATAATTACTTATATATCTTTTAAATATCACTAATTTAAATATTTATTTACCTAGTTCTTTTGAAATGCTCAAACTTCAAACACTTGCGGTGCCTATAACTCTAACAAGAAGCCTGACATAGTCATATTAGAGCTGGCCGAATCTATCGCAAATTTAAACCCGTATGGAAGCAAGCCGAATCAAGCATCCAGCTATCAATAACCTGTTGAGTCCCCAGAAGTTGTTGAACCTATTGGAATAAACTAAATAATGAGAAACTATCATTTAGTCGACCAAATCATTGGAAGCGTCCAAGATAGAATTTGAACGAGATCAACTTTTAAAGAACAATTTCAAGTTGCTATTTTGTCATAGATGAAGCCAAATACACTGATGGATACCATGCGAGATAATTGATAAGCGAAAGCTATGGAAAAAAAATTAAACCAGTTTCAAAGGAATGATGTTTGAAACCTTGTTCTTTGGCAAGTCAATAATTGACACAATGTGTTTAGAGTGTAACAGAATATATGTACATTGCATTCAAATGACCGAATACCTCAGAATGTATTCCAAACTCCGTAGTATTTCTCATAAATAAAATCCCTCAGCATGTGAATTGAACCATAAACTGCATTAGCAATTTCTTCACATGGTATCTAAACAAACTTGATGCTTATAAAGGCTTCTTATCACTAGTTATGTATACAGGGATTGTTACTAAAATTACAAGTAAAACTAAGTTCAATTCTTTAGTGTTGCTGCCACGCGTTAGAAATTATGAAACAGTAGCTGTTATATAATTTACTTCATGGAGAAAAGAAAGTTCATATCAAAGTAATCACCAAATGCGATTAAGTTTAGACTTCTGACGGAATTGCTTTTTTGTGGTACACCACGGGCCAGGAAAGGTGCTCAACTGTACATAAGAGAGACACATTCAGCCTGAGAGTCACTAACCATCGTGTTACCAAAATTTGAATTTTTATCAGACTTATGAATAACTCACACTGCCAATAATCTTTCCACCAAACCATGCAGTATCCACACCGAATGGAGGAGGTATGACTCTAATTCCATTGGACATATAAGGAGGAAGCAACGAATGAAGTTCCTTTTCTAACCTTTCTGAAACAACGCGATCACAAAAATAGAATTAGAAATCTCAAGCAGTTCCGATTCATCTGTTGCAAAAATGTTCAGTGTCCAGAAAGAGATATATACCTGCTAAACCAGGTAAACATGCAGTTCCTCCTGATAAGACAACAGTCTTAAACCAATTATTGTTGCCAGCTAATTCTGCAGTATAGCAATGATCCATACAAAGTGCGATGGCCTGATGCAAACCCATTGCTCGCCTATACCAAGAAATGCAAAATACATTTAAGATTCAATTCTGGATAATATAAGCAAGCAAGACCCGGGTATGTGGGGGGCTCATAACAGTTTACGCATTTACAAACCCTTAAACATGTTGTGTATCGCCTTCCTTCCAATCCTTTTTAATCTCATTTGTTACCTTCAATTTTGTTGTAGGTGGAGTGTACTCATTCATTTTTCCTTTTGTCAAATACACCAGGTTTTTTATTTTTGGTACAAGACTTCAAAAAGAGAAGTACAATTAGGATAAGATATAAACCTTTCAATAAAATAATCCATCAAACTTTCATCCAAATTTAAAAATGTCTAATACACCATAAATAATTGAAAAAAGTTAAAGTTAGGAAAAAAATAAACTGAAATCAAAATTTTCAATTTTAATTTTATTTTCAGAAGATGGCTGTGCACTTTTACAAATCAGTTCATTCAATCATGGTGATAATGACATGATAATTTATGAATCACACAGGGTCATGATAGATATGAACATAATCACTGAAGCAAATATGTATAGTTGTATACTCAATCTGCCCACATTACGAAAAGTACCAAAACTTACACCCCAGCAAGACTTGGCTGGAATAACATCTCTCCAGTTAGAAACCGTTCCTTTGAGAGTGTAAACAACCCTTCTACAGCTTCAAAAGATGCTCGTGTATCTTTCAGTAGTTCAGCTTCATAGTCAACAGCAACATAACATAGCTTCTGTTGCCATGCAACTAACGAAATATCAGACAACTTCATTCAGATGATTTTGAAGGGAAAGAAAAATGTAAGTACTGTATCAATCAGTCTCACCACACATTACTCGAGAAGCAGAAAAAGGAAAAGAGACACAAAAAAATAACATATAAAAGAGACCATGAGGGATTTCATCATCAATTTCAGAAGAGTCTAAAGAGTATATCTATAAAGAAGTCATTTGAATCATGCTGGCATAAATGGACCACCCCGAATTTTGATTCAGGCTAATAAATTGTTGACCTGGACCACTATGCAAGCTAAGGGCTACTTGGGAATTCACTGCCCCCACCCCCTCTTTTTATCTTCATATTATTTTAAGTGTAAAACTGCCAATTATAAATAACTTGTTTGATTAAGATGTATTAAAATATTTACATTAACTTGGATGTATTGTAAAGATATCAAATTAATTGTGACTTCAAATAAGTGGATGTCTGTCTTAGAATAAAAATTTGAGTAAAATTTTATGTTGTAAATTTCATAGATACTTAGAAAATCGAGAATATCTCTAAATATCTTTAGATATTGGTTTCCCTATTTCTTTATTATTTTGTTTTCCTATTTCTTTATTATTTTTATTTCCTTATTTAAGCATAGTCGTTTACTCTATAAATAGGAATATTAGAGAATGTACAAAATACACAATTAACATACAGTTTCTTTTTTCCAAGTTTATATTCAGGCATCATATTTGTTGGTCCAACATGATGGAATCATGCCCAGGCTCCATCCATGGAGGTGCAGTCTTATAATTTTCTAAATTTGTGTTGTTTAAATTTGTCCTTATTTGTCTTGTAAGTGTTTTGTTGTGTAGATCAAATTTTTTGCAAGATAATTGATAGGTCTAGTTTGTCTTGAAAAATTTGGTTCCAAAAGTTTAGATCTAGTAATCCTTGAAGCAAATTGTGAAACAATAGGATCTGTGTGTGTTGTTTTTGTTTTTTCTTTCATTTTGAGCTCCGATTGATGTGAGAAGAGTTTGAATTTGAAAATCTAAATATATTGCATGATTTGAGATTTTGAATTCACTCGAAACCCTCATCCTACTTATAATTTTTTGATTTATCATTGGTTATCTCCCTTATATTTCTCTTGACTCCTATATCTCCTCTTACTATTCCTAAAGAATGTTGATGAGGCGCTTAATCATCTTGGAATGAGACAAGCTATGATTGCTAAAATGCAAGCCCTTGAGCATAGTGGTACATGGAAATTAGTTCCACTTCCTCCCGGTAAACAACCAATTGGTTGTAGATGGGTCTATGCCATTAAAGTTGGGCCTAATAGTACACTTGATCAGCTCAAGGCCAAATTGGTGGCCAAGGGATATACTCAAATTTATGGCTTAAATTATGGTGATACCTTTCCTCCTATGGCTTCCTACAGTTCATCTCTTTCTTGCTATGGCAACTATTCGCCATTGGCCTCTCCAACAATTACACATTAAAAATGTCTTTTCTTTATGGGAAGTTGGAGGAGAAGATTTACATGAAGAAACCTCCTAGGTTTGCTACTCAAGGGGAGTCTGGTTTAGTTTGCAAATTGCAAAGCTCCACTTTATGAGCTGAAACAATTTCCTCAAGCTTGGTTTGGAAAATTTAGTCATGTGGTGTAGAACTTTGGGTTGAAAAGAAGTGAAGCAAACCACTTAGTATTTAATTGTCATACTTCAACAGGGAGGTGTGTATTGAGTTTAACGTATTTTATAGTGTTAATTATTACTTTCTTTTTGACATCCTTTCACTGATTGGTGGCCATATCAAGGATTAGACTGCTATCTCTCCCTTTCTTTCTTGTCTTATACTACTTTCTAGATACACGTATATATAAAATGTTTTGGAGCTAAATGTATGATATACACTTCAACTTTTCTCTCAAATTTCTTCAGGTTCTTAAACGTGGTATCAAAGCAGGTTGAACCCTCTCTACCTATCACCATCCACCACTATTGTCCGCGTCTCTGGCCATTGCTCATCGTCTTTGGCCATTATTCGGCAAACCCCAGGGGTTGGTGCGCCTTGTCAAACACAACCCAACCCAAGTGGTCACAAAGGCAAAAGCCTCTTCACATCTTCTCCCATGTTGCATCTTTAGGCGACGCTACCAGACATGTATTGTTCATGCACTGATCTTCAACTGTCGAAAAATTGCCATGCCACCATCAGTTCTTCGTTGGCACCTTTTAGGTCTATTTCAAAGTTCTCCTTCCTATTTTCTTATCTGTTTGGAAAGTGGATCTATTTCTCTTTATCTTTTGGGCCTCTTCATGTGTTACAACATGACTAGCTCTGGCCCTATTTTTTCCATTTCTGGAACTCCCACCATAACCTTAAAGAAACTTAATGGCAAGAACTACTTGTCTTGGTCTGCCTCTGTGGAGCTATGATTCCTTGGTCAAGTATATCATGACCATTTGGAGAAGGATATTGTTGAAATACCATTCGAGAGTCAAGAACAGTGGAAAAAGCTTGATTTCCAACTGTGTGCTTTGTTGTGGCAGTCTGTATAGCCCAACATTTTTAGGAACCTTTAGGACCTTCAAAACTTGTCATTCATTTTGGAAGAGAGCCCATTTTCCAATGACATTCAACGTCTATATGATTCAACTCACAAATTAGCATCTTTCAAACAAATTGATGATGACATGGTATCATTTGTTGCCCAAGCACAATCAATAGTTGAGGAGCTGAAAATGTTTTCAGGAGTTGATTCTATGGAAGAGATGAAGAAGAAACTTGATAAACTGTGTATGGTGTTGATTTTGCGTGCCATGAACTCTGATTTTAATAATATTCGTGATCAGATTTTGATAGGACAAGAAATCCCTTCAATGGAGAACCTTGTGACGTGTCTTCTTCATGTTCCAAGTTCAAAAAATAGTGGAAGTTTGGCTGAACCTACAGAATCTTCAACAATGGTTTCTACCCAAGGAAGAGGAGGTTGTGGAAACTATGGAGGATGTGACGGAAATCTTGTCAACTAAGGAAACATGTTAGGTCATCATTTCCAAAAAGAACTGAAACAAGATGTAACCCTACTTTTTCCACCACACCTAGACATTTGTGGTCCAAGTCGTGTCACATCTTTTGGGTTCAAATATTTTGTCACAGTTATTGATAAATATTCTCGATGTACTTGGATTTATTTAATGAAAAATCAATCTGAACTTTTGTCTATTTTTAGGTCTTTTTGCAATGAAACTAAGAATCAATTTGGAAAAATAATAAAAATCCTCAAGAGTGATAATGCTAAGGAATATTTTTCTTCAGATCTTACATCCTTTCTAACTACATATGATATTTTACATCAATCTATTTGTCCTAATACACCACGGTAACAAGGCAGAACAAAAAAAAAATAGACATTTAGTTAAAATTGCTCGTACCTTATTGCTTAGCACCAATGTTCTTGTCCATCATTAGGACGATGCAATTCTTACGACTTGTTTTTTAATAAATAGAATGTCATCCTCCTCTCTTGATAAAAAAATTCCTTATTCAATTCTTTTTCCAAATGAACCTCTATTTCATGTTTCTCCCCATATTTTTGGTTGTGTCTGTTTTGTCCATGATTTATCTCCAAGTTTGGACAAGCTCTCTACAAGGGCCATTAAGTATGTCTTTCTTGGCTACTCTCAACTTCAGAAAGATTATCGTTGTTATTCTCCAGACACTAAACGATACTACATGTCTACTGGCGTCACCTTCTTTGAAGACACTATTTTTTTCATCTTCCATGCAAGTGTTAGATTTTTATCAAACAAGTATTATCTATTCCATTTCTTGAGTCAATATTGACCTCGTCTTCTAAAACTTCCAACCAAAACATGGATCTAAGTCCTTCTCCAACTACCAACCCACTTGAACCATCTTCGCCACCTCTCATCACTTACCAATGAAGGACACAGGGGCAATTCAACACATCATGGAGAGCCATTTGTTTCATGTTCTTCATCATCATCTGCACCTACCATGATTCCCAATGATGAAGATTCTAGCTGGTCAATTTCTCTTCAAAAAGGTATTCAATCTACTCAAAATCCTCATCCTATTTATAATTTTTTGAGTTACCATCGTTTATCCCCTTCATATTTTTCATTTGTTTCATCCTTGTCTTCTATCAACATTCCTAAAAATATCAAAGAAGCACTTGCTCATCTTGCATGGCAACATGCAATGGTTGTTGAAATGCAAGCTCTTGAAAGTAGTGGGACATGGGAACTGGTCCCTGTACCACTTGGGAAAAAGACAGTTGGTTCCAGATGGGTTTATGCCATGAGGTTTGGCTAATGGTGAGCTTGATCGCCTTAAGGCTAGATTGGTGGCCAATGGATACACTCAAATCTATGGCCTTGATTATGGTGACACTTTTTCTCATGTGGCCAAAGTCACTACTGTTCGACTTTTTCTTGCTATGGCTACTATTCAACATTGGCCCCTCCATCAGTTACATGTTAAAAATGCCTTCACAGTGATTTGGAAGAGGAAATTTATATGGAGCAACCTCCTGGATTTGTTTCTCAAGGGGAGTGTAGATTAGTTTGTAAATTGTGTTGATCTCTCTATGGGCTCAAACAATCTCCACGAACTTAGTTTAGAAAATTCAGTCACGTTTTGCAGATTCTTGGGCTCAAATGTAATGAGGTTGATCACTCTGTTTCGATCATACCTCTTTTGGAAAATGTGTTTATCTGATTGTATATGTTGATGACATAGTTATTATAGGAAATGATCCTATCAAGATTTCCCAGCTGAAAAGGCATTTAATCAGCCACTTTCTAACCAAGGATCTCAATTGTCTTAAATACTTTCTTGGTATTGAGGTGGCTCAATCAAAGGAGGGCATTGTTATTTCACAAAGAAAGTATGTTCTAGATATTTTGGAGGAGACAATCATTATTAATAGCAAGTCAATTGATAGTCCTATGGACCCAAATAAGAAGTTAGTGGCAGACCATGGTGAACCATTCTTAGATCCAAAGAGATATAGAAGGCTTGTTGGAAAACTTATTTATCTCACGATCACCAAACCTAACATCTCCTTTGTAGTTGGAGTTATCAGTCAATTCATGTAGGCTCCTTATATTGATCATTGGAATGTTGTGATTCACATTCTCAAGTACATCAAAAAGGCTCCAGGACAGGAACTATTGTATGAGGATAAGGGAAAGACCCAAATTTCTAGTTATCGTGATGCTGATTGGGCAAGATCTCCTATAAACAGTTGCTCTACTACTGGATATTGTTTTTATTGGAGGAAATATCATTTCTTGAAAGAGTAAGAAACAAAATGTTGTTGCTTGGTCTAGTACAGGAGTGGAACATAAAGCTATGGCTACATCCACTTATGAGTTAATATGGATTAAGCAACTCCTTTAAGAATTAAAGTCTATGATGTTAAGCAAATGAAGTTGTATTGTGACAACCAGGCAACTTTCCATATTGCTTTCAACCCCGTGTTCCATGAAAGAACTAAACATATAGAAACTGATTGTCACTTTGTTTGGCAAAAAGTTGTTATCCAAGGAGATTAGTACCGAATTCACCAGTTCCAATGATCAACTAGCAAATATTCTTACCAAGTCTTTAAGAGGGCCTCAAATTAAGTTCATATGTTCCAAGCTTGGAGCATATATTTATATGAACCAACTTGAGGGGGAGTATTAGATAAAAGTAGAAAGAGATAAAAATGTAAAGAGGAACTTCATTTCATTACACTGTCAATGAATACACACGGGTTCAAATATATATAGGAAACCCTTCAATACTATATCAGTAAAAGCAATAGTAGAGAGAGAAAATAAAAAAGTAATACAGTTGTAAAAGTAGCAGCTATAAAAGCAACAATAGAGAGAGAAAATAAAGTACAGGTGTCCCTAGGATATTATGAAGATGTAATAGAATGCAAAAAGTAAAAAAGGCTAACAAACAAATATTCCCTTTTCGTTTTGATTTTATACACTAATAGGGAGTGTTGAGTTTAATGTATTTTATAGTGTTAATTATTACCTTCTTTCTTTTTGACATCCTTTCACTAATGTTAGTAAGGATCACAATGTTATCTCTCCCTTTCTATCTTATCTTGTACGTTTTAGATACACATACATATAAAAAGTTTTGCAGCTAAGTGTATGATATACACTTCAGCTTTTCTCCAAATTTCTTCAGGTTCTCCAACTGTGTTTATATAATTCTTTATGTTGATGACATGGTGATTACAAGAAATGATGCAACTACAATCTCTTAGTTGAAGAAACATTTGTTTAGTCATTTTCAAACCCAAGACCTTGGACATCTAAAATATTTTTTGGGTGTTGAGGTTGCCCAATCAAAGGACGGCATTGTGATTTCACAAAGGAAGCATGTTATTGATATCTTAAAGGAAATAGGCATGGTTGATTACAAGCTCGTTGATAGTTGTATGGATCCTAACCAAAAGTTGACGGCTGATCAAGGTGACCATTCACAGACTTGGAGAGATATAGAAGATTGGTTGGGAAGCTCATTTATCTTACAATCACAAGAACTAATCTTTCTTTTGCAATAGGAGTTGTTAGTCAATTCATGCAAGCCCCTCATATTAATCATTGGGATGTTTTACACATTCTTAAATATATCAAAAAGGCTCCAGGACAAAGATTGTTGCATGAGAACAAAGGAGATAGCCAAATTTATGGATATTGCGATGTTGATTGGACAAGTTCTCCTATAGATCGGCATTCCACTACTAAATACTATTCCTAGGTGGAAATCTCATCTCTTGGAAGGGCAAGAAACAAAACATTGTTGCTTGATCCAATGCTAAAGTTGAATATTGAGCTATGGCTATGATTACTTGTGAACTTATATGGATTAAGCAACCCCTTCAAGAGTTAAAATTTTGTGAAGCTCATCCAATGAAATTTTATTGTGATATGTAGGTTGCACTTCACATTGCCTCCAATCCAGTATTTCATGATAGAACTAAACATATAGAGGTTGACTATCATTTTGTTAGAGAGAAGTTGTTATCTAAGGAAATTGTTACTAAATTTGTCACCTCCAATGAACAAGTTGTAGATGTTATGACTAAGTCATTGGAGGAACCTCAAATCCAGTTTTTAGGTTCCAAGCTTGGTGCATACAATCTATATGCTCTACCTTGAGGGGGTGTATTAGAATAGCTTGCTAAGGTTCTTAATTTTTAGTCTTTTATATTTCTGATGCTGATGTAATGGCTTAGGATATATATATATATATATATATATATATATATAGAGAGAGAGAGAGAGAGAGAGAGATTGGATCCATTTACTCTAAGAATAAGTCTACCAAGATTTACTCCACTTAATAACTCGTGTTCTATATCAAATTTTAACGATCTAATCATTAAATTAAAAGTTCTTAATGCATAGATCAAGTCTACGAATTTAAAAAAAAATTGAAAACTATTTGATATTTTATTTCATTAATTCAAATTAACAGATAATCATAAAAATATTTTATACGTTCATTTGAATCTACATAACAAAGTATCATGATTTTCAATTTTTTTAAAAATTTGCAAACTTAATCTATAAATTAAGAACTTTTAATTTAACAGTTGAATCGTTGAAGTTTGATTTAAAACACAATTATCAAATAAAGTAAGTCTATTTTGGAGTTTATGGATCCCTCTTCTTATATATATGTGTGTACCAATAGAGGAACACTCACTAAATTTTCCCAAAACTATAATTCTCAATATTCAAGTGAGGTGTCAAAGAAGTGAAAATTTAAAATCAAACTCAACTTAAAAGAGAGTTTAGAAGAAAGCAAATATTCAAACTAGATTAAAGATGTTCAGGTATACTAAATTTAATAAGCAATCTTAAGGGACCACTTCTGTCTTCTCAAGAGCACTACAACAACAAATATAAGTAAAACCTCATTGTTTTGAATAATAACATGTATTTAGTAATTATCGTATAGGTACATAGGATTTTATGTAGAGGAAACAAAATATCCCCAAATCATGCATATTGAATGAATTAAATCTATATAAATTGTCCCATGGTGTAGTGAGAGATACGATTTCAGCACATCTTTCATGCCTATGTTATTTACTCTTAACACTCATCTATTACTATAACTAGTTCAGAACATAAAGGACAATGATAATACCTCTTTCAGGGTGCGAACAGTGTACAAAGATTCAAAACTTATGTTGTTTTGTTGCATCTGTTCTCTAAGAAATCCGGTAAGTTTTAGTGCTCCCAGACCCACAACCTCCACACCCACCTTTCGCATCACTTTACCATTTAAAACTGCAAAACAACGATGAAGAGATGCTCACAATGAGGGAGAAAAGAAGATATTGGTCATAAACTCATTTTCTTTAGACCAAGGAACAATGTATGGATTAGAGCAGAAAAGGTAATGTTCAAGCATTGCTACATCTGAACCCAACAAAGGAAGCAGATTAAGGCATTTCATGCAAGGAATTTATTGTTATGCATAAATTAGGAAATATATGAAAGAATAAAATTGTAGAACATACTTGGAACTATAGATGTTACTTGAAAACCTATATTAACAGCTATCCCGGAAGTTTGTTTTGCAGCATACAGAGCTAAAGTCCCCTACATTTGCAAAATAAAGAATAGTAAATATGGTAAAGACAAGCAATGCCAACCAAAAAATGTAACCGAAAGAACACAGTCACAAAAACCCATAGTTGATAGTGCAAAAGGGATAGACAAACATAAAATTCTAAGCTTGATTAATTGTAGTTCATTTTATATGCTAGGTTAACTGAAAACCAGTTCCTTTGCACATAGGTCTAGGCTCTTATATTAACATATAGACTCTGATTCTACTCCAACTCAACAGTGTTTATGCATTTTTATCTACAACCTAACAATTGTGTTGCAAAGCTATGGTTACATTACTGGTATGCAGTACCTGATATGGATATGAATTTCTAAAAATGAAAGATATGCTACATTAATATAAATTTAAAAATTAAATGTAAGTGAGACAGAACTTCATATAATAAAAATTGGATAGATGATAGAAACTCAAAATTTATACCATATAATAAAACATAAAAGGAGCCACATTGTAGTAAATTTTGTGAAAATATCTAAAGAAAATAATTTAAAAAACATATAAACCAAAATCAATATTAAATGAAAAATATTGTTAAGTTAGAAGTTTCTATTAGCTTTTGTTCAACTTTTATAAAAAAAATTTTGCCTGTATCTAGCTGGCAGCTGCAGTGAGCCAGTGATAGAAGTCACTATTTTTTCCTTTTTCTGACTTACCTTTTGTGTTGTACATTCCTCTTTCACACGCGTGTGTGCGTGTAATATTCAGATCTGGAGGAGTGGAAACACACCAGACTAATTTTTCATCATCACTATGAAAGGACAAATATCTAAAACTTATAGCAGCATTGATCAGATGTGGTTGAAGAAATAAAACATGAGTTGTGTTCTATGTTTGGTGAGCATCTTAAAATCAGAGCAGAACAGGACATGAGGAGAATGCTGGTACATTTTAGTTCCAATTATAATTATAATAATGGGTAAAGCGGGGGAATATAATGAAATGATCTCTTTTGTTTATTTTGCATGATAAGGGTTACCAGCATGTACATGTGAGGACAAAGAGTCTGGTTGACCATCATAGATTCAATTAACAATGTGGAAAATGGGGCTAAGCTACATATTTTTTCTGCAAAAGATGAGGAAGGAGATATGTATTCTCTTTATTGAAAGGGATGCAAAATATAAAGATAGGAGAACCACACATATAAGTACTTTAAAGATGTTATAAATATTTAGAACAAAAGTAGGTTACCCATTAAACTAGTGCAAGCACCAAAATCCATATGTCTCTTGCTATTACCAAGTTAAACAAGGAACAAAATGAAGTCTCCAAGTCTAATGCTTAGAGACAATAAATCTTATATAGAAGATAAAATGGTAACCAGAACTGGTTATTTTTTATTTCAATTAAAATGTTAACCTGATTGAGAGCACAAACAGCAGGTACATTCATGTCAAAAAGGGATGCATAGATTGCTTCTTTAAGTTGTTGTCTTGATGCTTTGGCTGATTCAGTATCTGCAATGAGGAAATAGAACCTTACACAGCTAGAAAATCATAAGTATCAGGTGACAGCATAAGAGAATATAATCTCGACCACATAATCAAAATGGATGGTTATGATAAAATTTAAACAAATCAATCTTGAACATCCATGCATGGTGGTACAGCCAAGATTAACTTATCTTGCCTCTCACAAGATAGTAGCCACACTTTATATGTGTGTGTAGATCAAATAAAAAATTTGATCCTTATATTTCACAACATTTTTTGTTTTGGTACCTATATGGATGGTCCCCACATGAAAAAAGTATTTAGAAATCAGTCCATACCAATTGCCATAATTATGATGTTAGATTTTGCCAAAGCAAATGTTAGCTAACTCAGCAAAATCTCACACTGTTATAAGTTTGGCAAACAACAGGGATCAACTTGTAGATGTTCTTTTATATATGTGACAAAGCAACTAAATTCTTATTTTACCCACGTGTGTATCTAAAATTTAGTATATCACCACATTTGTCCTTGTGGAAAATTGAAGTGGCGACACTAAAGGACAAATTTGATAGCTAGTTTATATCTTTGAAAGACTAATTTATTGAAAAATCTCTGAATGACTGGCATAATGACACACTAATCTTTGAAACTCCAATTAAAGGCTTTACTCAACATTGATCCATACATATGCAAGCACAATATTATCCTTCAAACAGAAAAGAATCAAGCAACACCACGATACATTTAAATTATCATAGTATTCTTTTACCCCCCCCCCCTTCCCCTGGTTTTAACAACTGTAGCAAAACCACAAAATTCAACTGACCATCATAGTGGCATATTGGTATAGAAACAACAACTGGTTGAGAACTTGGTTTCACCTGCATCCTACACAGAAAGCAACCAACATATTATCACCATCAAGCACAAAATTATGCAATCGACAAAAACAACACCTCCTTCCACAACTTGACCGCTCGTGTTCCGCACTACTCACGTACACACACACTTCGCTTTCGCTCAAATGATTATCAACAGCAGCAGTGAATCGTTCCACACCAACAAGAAGAAAAACACGCACCTGTTATAGATAGTCGCGAAAAAATGCCGAAGTCTAGAATACATAGGCGTTTCAACGTTACCGAATTCCTGCAAATGAAACCCCAATGAAGACGCGAAACAGGTGATTTTTTCCAAATCCAAAAACCCGCTCGAAGCAGAGAGGCTCACCAAAAAAGTTGCGAATCGACCCGAGGGAGACGCTTCTTTGGTCCAACCGAATTTGCAATAGCCAGAACCCCCTACAGAAGAAGCAAAAGAGAGGATTAAGAAGAAGAAGAAGAAAAATGAGAGAAGCGAGAGGGGAGGGAAAATAACCGTCGATGACAACGGAAGGAGGGAGGCGTTCACGTAGGGCATAAACATGCTGGAACGGGACACGTGGCACGTTCTGGTCAGCCTCAGGAAGAGGGTAGCCAGAGCTCAAAGCGGATTCGGCGAAGAGGGCGGAGTGGGGGTGGTGGGCTTGCAGGAAGTGGGCCCAGAGGGCGTTGTCGGAGACGAGGGACTGCCATGACTTGGAAACGAGGCTGAGTTTAGCGGCGTGTTTGGGGCCCAAGAGTCGCACGATTTTGATGAGTATGTCGGGAGGGAGAGGGTCGAAGGCGCCCAAAGAGGTAGGCGCGCGTTCCGAGGATGGGTTCTGGTTCGAATTGGACCCGGATCGCTTCAGCGACGCCGATTCGCACAGTTTTCTCAGCAACGTCGCCATCACCAGCACAACGCAATGCCCAATTGAGTGAACCAAGTTGGTTTGGAGTAAGAAACCAGAACTATCAGTTTGTTTATAAGTCGCTGCTTAGGAAACGACGGCAAGTAAAAAAATCGGCGTTTATTTACATAACCGTTTGTGGCGCTAGAACATTAATTTACAGGAAGTGAAGATTTAAAAAACAAAATATATATATAGAGAGAGAATTGTTAAGATACTCTCACCTATTTTTTTTAGGTAGAGTATATTAACAACTTATATTAAAATTTTAGAAAAAAAAATTACTTATTTTTTTTATTAAGTTAAATTGTAAAGTTTGGTTCATGATTTTTTAATGGTGTATAGTTTGAGAAATGATTAATTGACTATTGTGGAGTTGTTTTAAAAATTAATTATGTAAATGAAATTATTTTAAAGATTATTTTTGGATCTAGATTTAGATCTAAAATAGTTTAAATAACCTAAAATAATTATTTATTGTTCTTGAATTTCATGAAAATTGTGAAATCGTGATTACATATTAGGTTTTTATGAAATTCAATAGATATAAATATAGATCTACATTTTTAATTATGTCCATGCTTATTTGAGGGTTATTAAAATTAAATTATATTTTGAATTGTAAGAATTTTACCATAAGGACTAAAATCTTGAATCGGTACATTTTTTATGAGAATTTCTGATTAATTTTCTATTTTGTGTTCTTGATTTTTTTTATTATTGTTTATTGTTCATAAAATCCTCATTCTAATGATACATGATAAATTTGGATTTTATTGACTTTTGTCTTTGATAAGAATAACCTAGGTAGTTCTTTATATTACAAATCCAAAGAAAAAAATCTAGTAATTTTTTATAATAATCTAGTTACGTTATCAAAATGATGTCATCTCTAAGGACACAAGTCATTGTGTCCTAATTTTTTAACACCTATTATCTGTTTGTGAAATTGTTATTGAATATACAACTATATTCTAACCAATTATGTTAAGTTTTGTGTTGTTTTGCATAGAAGTTGCGCCTAGGTTTTGGAATGATTAATGTTTGAGCTAAAATTTGGTCTCGAAGGGTAGAATGTGATTATGAGCAAAGTCCATCTTTTAGGTGTTTGATAACAATTTTAGTAGGGGTATTTTGGTTATTTGAGGAAAATTGCTCTAATTGGGCTGAAATTTTGTGAAAAGGTGCAGAAAATTTGTGCATCAAGGTGCCCTAGGTCATAACATAGCTTAAGCATTGGGGGTCATTTTTGCCAAATTCCTTTGTTTAGAATATTTTTATATTTTTTTGTGTTTTTGACATTTTTAAAAATCTCCAAAAAAAAAAATATCATATGGAATTATGTTCTGCTGTATTTTTTAAAATTCATTTGGTAGAGTTTTACATGTTATAGGACATGTTAGATTTATATTTGACTTTTTTGTTGACTTTGATTTTTTGTTGATTGTTTAATTCTCTGTTTGCTTAGTTGTTGTTTACTTTGCATGTGTGTGGCAGTGCATGACTAGATCTAATCCTGTTGATTTGCATGATTTTGATCTTAGAATAGAACAAACATTTCATAGGTTGAATATTAGAAGTAGAAAAGTAGTTCATAGTGGTAGTGTAATTCTAAGCCCTTTTATTTCTATTTTTGATTTTCATACTTGTGCATTTAAAAATATGGATAAATGTGATTTGACCTTGAAGGAATTGGCTACACCTAATGTTGTATATCAACCTTGTTGTGTCCAATATCTTGATGTGGAAGTTTATTATGAACTTTGTTGAGCATCGGGGGGTTACCACACATATACACATGTCTCCACATTGGTGAGATATTATCCGCTTTGGGCCCAAGCCCTCACAGTTTTATTTTTGGACATCACCCAAAGGGCCTATCTACCAATGGAGACAATTGTATGTATATAAACCCATGTCCATCCTCTTATTTGAATGATGTGGGACTTTGCTTACATCCCAATAATCCTCCCCTCAAACAAAGGACCACGGCTTACTTCCTCGCTTGCAGCGGAAACTACGAGTATTATCTGATGGTGGCCCACAGAGCTCACTTACGCTCTGAGTACTTGTACCCTCCACCGTTTAGGAAGACTTTCAATACAAGGGATCCCAAACTTGGATCCACCTGCCAGCTATCATACTCGTCGAGCCAGTCACCTGATCAAACCATCAGCTCTAATACTACTGTTGGGGAGTTTTTAACACCGGGGAGCACTCCATATAGTGGGTACTGAGTAAGTCACACAAGTGAGCTTTGATACCACTTGTTGAGCATCGGGGGTTACCACACATATACACATGTCTCCACATTGGTGAGATATTATCTGCTTTGGGCTCAAGCCCTCACGATTTTGCTTTTGGACATCACCCAAAAGGTCTATCTACTAATGGAGACAATTGTATGTATATAAACTCATGTCCATCCTCTTATTTGAATGATGTGGGACTTTGCTTGCATCCCAACAATCCTCCCCTCAAACAAAGGACCACGGCTTACTCCCTCCCTTGCAGCGAAAACTACGAGTATTATCTAATGGTGGCCCACAAAGCTCACTCACGCTCTGAGTACTTGTACCCTCCACCGTTTAGGAAGACTTTCGATACAAGGGATCCCAAACTTGGATCCACTTGCCAGCTATCATACTCGTCGAGCCAGTCACCTGATCAGACCATCAACTCTAATACTACTATTGGGGAGTTTTTAACACCGGGGGCACTCCATATAGTGGGTTGTTGAGCATCGGGGGGTTACCACACATATACACATGTCTCTACATTGGTGAGATATTATCTACTTTGGGCTCAAGCCCTCACGATTTTACTTTTGAACATCACCCAAAAGGCCTCTCTACCAATGGAGACAACTATGTGTATATAAACTCATGTTCATCCTCTTGTTTGAATGATGTGGGACTTTGTTTGCATCCCAACAAACTTAAATCTAGACTAATCCACTTGTGCCTGAGTTTCATGTGTTGAATCTTGTCTAAGTATGATTTTAATAATGACAAAATTTTAGTATCAAATTCTAGATAAGAAAAGTTCCCATTTTTGTGCAAATAAGTTTGTTTAAGTGTTTTAGTAAATTTAGACTGATCAATAGGCCCCTTTGAGCAATAAAAGAGATTAACAAAGACATCCTTATGACTAAGTAAAAAAATATTTAGTTTTAAGGATTGTTAATTAGCATAAAAGATAATGTTTGTTCCATTTAAGAAGTTAAGTATCCTAAGTTGTTGATAAGAAAGTTTCAAATAAAAACATCTTTCCTAGGGAGAAATGTCTTGAACACCTAGTTTAGAAGACTACTACTTCTAGCTGCCTACCAAAAACCTTCAATTTAAAGCGATGCTTCTCAAAAGACTTGTATTGAAGACCTGGTTCAAAAGGCCTGAAGTGAAGACTTACTCAGAAGGCAACTTAGTTATCAAGGCCGATAAAAACAAAAAGTAAAGTATAATGATGTCATCATTAATCTTAAAAAATAAGCAAGCTACAATGGATCTATTACTATGTGCTTATAAAGGGAAGACAAAAGTATCACTTTCAAGCAAGCAAAATCAAAGAGAGAAATCAATTACTCAAACACAACAAACTAAATTCCTTACTTTATCCTCTAAAATTTTTCAAAGACTTCCATTTCATATTTGTATGTACGTTTTCTAATATAAAAAGTGTGAAATCTTCCTTAGTGGAAGTTGCATTATAGGAGAGATACATGTGATCTTTGCAATCTATAAGAATACAATAACTTGTTCTTGTAAACACTTTACTTACCCAGAATTGAGAATGTTGTGGTGGAGGGAAGTAAAAGGAAATCATAACGAGTATTGTGTAGTCTTGTAGCAGGTGGTTGTGAGGTTGTTTTCTCAACATTCAGTTAAGTGAAGAAATCATTGTAAGTGGTTGAGTGCTTGCTACTAACCACAGATGGTTGTGTGGTAGTGTTTGTATCAGCAGGTGCTTGAGTTGTTGAACAGTAGTGACTATAATTTAGTAAAAATCTCACAAGGTTATGTTGGGACTAGATATAGCCCAATTAGGGTGAACTCGTATAAATCTTGTGTCCAATCTCTCTCTCCTTACCCTTTTAGTTATTTATTTAAACTATTGCATTCATGTTTATACTACTACATAACTTGAATCATAAACAAGTAAACTTATAAGCTAATTTTAGAAAAGACATTTTGCTCTAGTACTTAGAAGATTGGTCTTATGAATAACAAATATAAAAAGAATAGACTTTTACAAGGAAAACAATTCAATCCTTTTCTTGTATTATAACATTCACTTCAATTGATAGTAAAGTTTGGCTCATAGAACGAAGCACACTTAATAGTGTAAGAGAAAATATTCTAAAGAAGTGATGGCTATGCAGCTCCTAGCTATGTTTATTCTAGAAGAAGCTTCAACAAATAGATCTCCAAGCTTTGATGGAAAATATTATTATTACTCCATAGACAAAATAATGTTTTTCCTTGACTTACAAGATGTGGGTCTACTAGAAATATTAGAATAAAAACCATATGTACCTTTGAAAACACTAGACATAGGATTCATAGTTGCTAAGCCAAAACAAGAATGGAATACTAATGAAAAAGTAAGATATTTGTTGAATGTGAAAGAAATGTTCTATCTGACTTGTGCATTAAGTAGAATTGAATATGACAAAGTTAGAGAGTGCAACATAGCAAAAATATATTTGGGAAAAATTAAGAATTGCATATAAAGGAATAGACCAGGTAAAAGACTCTAAAGTAAATATTTTAAGTCACTAGTTTGAAATGTTTAAAATACAAGAACAAAAAACATTATTTCATCAACAATCTAAGATGCTACCTTGTGCTAGGATTTTTTTTTTGAAATTCTTCACTTGAAAGTTAGAACCAAGAAATAACACTAAAGGAGATTTTAAAGACAAAGCAAGAAAAGATCAATTATAAGTAAGCTAAACTCAAAGATAAGGGAATGGACAAACTCAAAGAATTTCAAGAAACTAATAAATTAGAATTAAAGATAAATTTTGAAAGTTAACACTCAAGAATTTCCTAGATTGGCACTAGAA